TAGAACCGTGACTGACAAAAGTCGAGTCCGAGCTGTAGCGAGGTCCCCCGCGGGCTTGTCATCAACCAACTTATTATGTGAGTGTGGCTGAGGCTCACTCATGTTGGTATATGCCCATTTGTCATTTTCATGTCATTGCTCACGAAGTGACCTTCCCCAATCGTACCCAAGTTCCCGAGCCGAGGCAACTTTGGTGATGACGGACACGTGGCCTTTTGGCACCGAGTCAGGGTTTCCTAAATTTCCCAAAATAAAATATTTAGGTGGCGACTCTGTATCTGGCAAAGCAGTCCATGTTTGGCACTTCTTTCAAAAAATCAGTTTTCCTAAAATGATTTGCCGGATTTGGACTCTTTGGTTCAGATTTAGAACCGTGACTAACGAAAAGTCGAGTCCGAGCTGTAGCGAGGTCCCCCCGCGGGCTTGTTACAATATGTAATTTGCCCTAATAATAATACTAATAATAATAATAATAATAATAAAATGAATTAGATTTCAGAGAGTGTTGTTCAGGCAAAGACTATGGCACCTCCAAAGCCATCGAAGGCTCATTCTTGGGTGGGTACAGCGCAAGAGAAACAAAGGGAGATGTGTCTGTGATCAAGCACTTGGTAGCAAATGGTTCGTAGCTTTGCAATCGAGGCCTTCTGTGTTGGGAAAGCCAGAAGCTTGGAGAGATTGTGGGATGTTGGTGGCCAGGACAAGATTCGTCCATTGTGGAGGCACTATTTCCAGAACACACAGGGTCGCATTGTTATGGTGGATAGCAATGACAGAGATCGAGTTGTGGAGGCAAGGAATGAAGTGCATCGCATGTTGAAGGAGGACTTGGACGAGCTGGGAACCGAAGTAGGGTCCCAAGACGAAATCGGAGGGTCGGGATGGTGGAGGGGAGGGGTTTACGGCGGCGATGGACTCGACAAAGTCGTTCTTGCACTTGTGACAGACCATGTCGGAGAGGTTGGGTAGGGTTTCGATGGAGACCCGTTTGTTGCAGTGGTATCACCAGTACTATAACGGATCAGGATCCGAACACGATTGGGTTGTCTTTAGCTGGGTTTGATTTGATTTTGGAAAAAGATGTATGAGCCATTTGAGTTGATTTGGCTGAAGGTGTTGGTGCCATTGAAAGAAAACCCAGAAAAATATGAAAGGAAATCGTCAAACTCTGTTCTGGGTTCAGTGAGTAGAGATCTAAAATGAAGATTTTCTTGGAGATTCCCCAGAAAATTCAAGATTCAATTTCAGAATCTTCTGGATTTTGAGAGAGATTAGAAGATGCAGCGGAGTGAAGGTATGTGCAGAAAATTCCAGCAGGCAGCGAAGGCAAAGTTGCTGGCCGGCTGCCCCTGGTGAGAAAGAAATACAGGCCTAAATCTTATGACTCTAATACCATGTTAAAATAATGTATAGAAAATAATTGTGTATTATTCATGTATTGAATGAGTATATTACAATGTTCAGATACCTCTCCTTTATAGAGGAGAGAGTGTTACAAAGAGGCCAAAGGTGGCCGAAAGAAGAACATGAAAGCATGCACTAAGGAGACAACATTATTAAAGCTAGTTGGTATTTCACAGCTAATATATACACTAACACATTTAAATTAGTAAATGCCCTTCAATAGAACAACGATACTTGAATTATCATATGATATGGAGGCAAATTACAAAAAGAAACTCTAAACAAGAATAAAAGAGCAGGGAACAGATTTCAAACATTGTGAATGGTCAAGCTGCTAGTCCTGCTCTATCCGTTGGATGATTAGATTTACTGCTGCATTTGCTGATGAGAAAGCTCCATGAAAGCTTTCCTGATAGGAAATAGATTCCAATTCTCTAGCCATCTTTAATAGAATCTCACCCAGGTCAGTTTGTCTCTCCACCAAAGATTTGTAGTATGAGCGGGCAGCAACACAGCTGATGTCCACATTAGTTGGCTCTGGACAGTACTCGTCATCCAACCATTTGTGGAGAGTTACCCTTAGCCACTCTGATTCCTGCAGTAATGTCACAAATATAGATCACGCTGCATAAGACAGTAATAGAGTTGCTATGGAAACTGATTTCTTCACATACAAGGAGAGAGAGAGAGAGAGAGAGAGAGAGAGAGAGAGAGAGAGAGTAGAAGAAAGTATGGCGACACTTTAAACCAAGTCACATGTTCACCTCCAAATTCAAAGATTGCTTGCTCAAGTTAGTTAAAGGCATAAGTTAGTATGACCTGGATAGGAAAGATGGAAGGAATGTTTTATAAGAGCACAGGCCAAATGAGAGATCAGACTATTAAGCATTTTAGTCACATCTCCAATAGTCTGACATTTTTATGCCATGTGGTACAACTCCTAGTTCGATGCACATGAATTTTCCTTTGGTTGCAATGTTTGATCTTAGGCCTGTAGCCAGAAATTGCTCATGAATGGTGGTAGTGAAGGTTGCTTTGATTAAGAAACTCAATCATCCTTCACAAATCATCCTCTTACAAAAGTAAAATGAAACTGATGTGGAATTGCACCTCTTAAGAAACTCAACCAAATGAAATTGATGTGGAATAGCATCTCCTACTAGAATCTTTCTTTTAATTGTTCAAGATTCCATATTGATAAATTGTAGTATTATTTATTGTTGTGTATCTATTTTGTACAAGAATTCCTATTATATAGGAGATGATTCTGGAGTAGGTGAGGAGTGAGTGGTGGAGGTAGGTTTGGTGGAGTGTAGTAGGTGATTTACATTTACATTAACACATATAATGAGGATTTGCTTCCATTCTTATCAAACAAATTATAAAAACAAGAAAGAAAAAAAAAAAAATTCAACTAAACTAATAACAGATTCCCCCACGATTAACTCCTAACTTAGAAGGAACCAACCAACAACATAAATGTAATAACTCTAACATTGAATTTGAATCATTGATTTAGATAGCGATTTGAAAATAGAAAGAAAAAATGAAAAAATAAAATTTATATTTATATTTCATTTATATTTTTACATTCTCTTTCCATACGGATTTGGGTTTCATAGATTTAGGTAAGAATTTAGAAAGAGAACGAAAAAATGTGAATGAAATATGTAAGTTAAATTTTTCCAACAATAGTAAAAATCTTTTCTTTTCATTAGTAACTCCAACTAAACCAATTAAAGACAGAGAAGAGACGAAGACAAGCAAGAAATAATTAACAAACACCAATTAAAGTAAATTAATTAACCATAAACAAACAATAAAGCTGATCAAAACCCAAGTTTATGTAAATCAAAAGTCGATTACCTCTAGGGCTTTGGAAGGGTCGAGCCAATGCTCGGGAACCCTAAGGTCTTGAACCAGGCCTTCCTGCGAGTCTTCTTCTTCTTCTTCATTGCTCGAATACGATTGATATCTATGGATAGAGGCGAAGCGAAGATGATCTTCGGGTCGAGAAGAGACAGAAAGAAAATTAAGGGTAGGATTAGCAATAACTCTGAAGCTACTACCATGGATCTTTGAACAAAGATTACAGCTTGGAACAGTTATAGATGGAGCAATGAACAAGGACGCCATTGATTTCCAGTTTTTTGAACTCGAATCAAACCACTTTGTCTTTCCCCAATTCGGTTGTTTGATTCGCAGAAGCGTAACGGTTTCTTCGGTTGAATCCGGATCGTTTTGGATGAGAGGTATACCATATCTACCATGTATATTCCCCGAAAACGATGACGTTTTAGAAGCGGTGTCGTTTCGTGTAACCAAGACTCGTCAAGGAAGGAACCAACCAACCTTGCGCGGGGGTTCGGTAATTAACTATCAAAATAAAATGAAAATGCTATTTTGCAAGAAAAGTAATTTGCATTTATGATATAAAGTTAAACTCTAGATCAAAAAAAAAACAAAAATGCTAGAGTTATACTTAGTATATTTAAATAATATTCAAAATTTAGTCCACAACTTGTAAATTCTGATAAATTTTCAATTTCGTTTTTTGTGAGTGCATTGTTTGAGTAATTATTAATTACAATAAATATTAAGGTACCGTTTGACAACCAACTTTTTGACTAAAAAATCAAAAAATTATTTAAAAAATTAAAATATCACAACATATACATTAATCAATCAATTTTTTTTTTTTTCTTTTCTCACTACTTTTTTAATTAAAAAAATCATTCCAAATGCACTAACTTCTTTATCTCATAAAAAAAATCAAAATATCAATAAAAAATCGAAGTTGCCAACACACACCTAGAGTTGTTTCCGTAACATTGGAATAAAAAAAATAAAAATAAAAATAAAAAAGCAGCCAACATTGGATTTTCCTACCCAATTAGAGTAAACTTACGGATGTTAAAAGAATTATAAGGTCCCCTTGAAATTTTTAGCAGAAGTAGCAACTTTTGTAGATGTAAAACATTTACTATCATTTGCTATAACAACTTGAAACATCTGCCATCTTACAACCCTGTTTGAACATTGAACATCCAGTATAAATCCAAAAATTGCATGAGAATTGCCCGATCTGGTAACATTGTATGTTTAGTAATTTATTTATTAGGCAGATGTAGAACAAATCAACCAAGACTCAAGATCTGCCCACAAGGACTCAGCTCAGCATGAAATCCAAAATAGTCAGTAAATTATAAACATTGCATCAAAAGCAATAGCAGCAGCAACACAAACACAAACACTGACACCAACAAGAACTAAAACGGGATAGTTGTGTTAAATTTGCTCATACACCATTCCACAACATCAAAGGCCACTATAAATATGCCCATAATCAATCAACATTGCCATATTCCAAGTCCATTCACCATATTCATGCCATTTCAGTCTGTTGGAACCACATATTTCGGTACAGATATAACATTTCACAGTTTACTAATCATGAATTTGTGGTTTACCTCTTCCCCAACTTACCATCACCAACTTATACAAACCTAAATCATTCCGATTCAAATGCAAAAATTTCGTTCCAATGCCAAACACCAAGTACGAGCCTAAATATCCCTTTTCTTTTTCCCTCCTCAGAGGCAACATTAAGTTGTTCGAAGTTCATCAATCATATGACGAGAAAAAACCAAAAAAGTTACACAGCAGTAAACATGTAAATAAAGAATTAGGGAGAGTGTATGCGTCATAGACTAGATCAAGGCGAGAATGGAAGAGCACTTCTTCTTGACCTCTTCCGGTTCAATGTTCCAATGAGAAATCCTTTGAGGACGAACAATTTTCTTCGATGGGGCATCCCATTGCACCTAATAGAGAAGAATATAAACAAATCCATACATGTGTATCTACCAGTAATATGTTTCTGGAATGTTAAAGAGCATCGTGAATGCATTTACCTTCAGACATCTCCACTCTGAACCAGGCCACCTGATGCAATCAATATTATTAATGCCAACTACGGTCCCTGCAAATCTGATTAATAAACATAAATTCAGATAAAAAGAAGAATAGACAAGAAATGTGTTCCAGTGGGGCAGATATCATCTGCTATAACTTTTTGTTATATTGCCATTGTAACGCTAATCAGTCCAAGCATGCTAGATAGTTCATTTAGTCATTATTCCAAAATATTGAAATGATATTGATATCATTCCACAACTCCGGAAAATGAGAATTGCAGATAGATTATATTATTGTGAAAGACAAATACCCACAAAAACTTACATGGAGCACTTTTGTTCAGGACATTCTTCACCATCAAACTGCATGCTGAATCTTGTTCCAATTGAATAGTCATTTTCAGCTGACTTCATGTATCGAATCAATAAAGGATTATAAAAATTCAGCAGGATCTTGTCTACAGAAGATGCACAACAATAAACTTTAGATATTGATAAAGTCTATATGCCCAATGAAATGCAATAGACTTCATATCCATAACTAGTATTGATAAAGTCTATATGCCCAATGAAATGCAATAGACTTCATATCCATAACAGAGTACTAGCTTACCAAGGACGGTAATACACAGTAAACATGGTTCCAGTAGAAACGGCATGGAAGGCACTTGCCAGTATGCCATGTTGCATGCTGACACCAGATATGACAGATGCTGGTATACTGATTTGTGATTTTGTTGCACGACGGACCCCCACATAAAGTTCTCCATTTTCCCCTCTATAAAAAAGAAGAAAAGAAATCATATCATAACTATTACTACTGAGTCATCAACTGCTAAGACACCCTTTACTAAAAATTAAAAAGAAGAAATAAAGAACCCCATCTAAATGAATATAGGTCGCAAAACTATATATTAGAAGATAGCACAAATAGGACTCAATTTTATCAAATCCAGCAAGACTAATTCCCACATTAGCTTAAAGAAGCTATGGGAAATAGGATCTAGCGCGCGCGCGCGCGCGCGCGTGTGTGTGTGAGAGAGAGAGAGAGAGAGAGAGAGAGAGAGAACCTCAGGAATATACAAGCATCACCAACAACAAGCTTCTTTGCACTAACAAATGTACTCCAACCACTACTAAGCAAGTGTCGCTTTGGATGCCCTATATTTACAGTACAAATAAAAAATAATAATAGAAGAAGCTGAATCAAATGTGGATTTAATACAATTAGAGACTAAAAAGTAAAAAGTGCCAACAAATTATTAAATTCTCTACCAAGCTAAAAAAAGTCTACAGGAGATGAAAGAAGATAACTGTAAAATTAAGCACCTTAGTGGAGTGTTACAACCCAAAAAAAGAAGAAGAAGACAATTATGGACAGTTTGCAGATTGTATAGAAATCAAATCAGTCCATTTGGTTTTATATGGGATTTGATTGAATCCACTGTGTTCTATTAAAGCATTTAGATCCATCTGCTAAAATCAATAGCTAGGTCAAAATACTACCTTCTGATTTACATGGAATGCCCAAACACTAACTCTGTTTGTCCCACACAACACAATGAACTATTGATAGTTTATGGTTTTTGTACTTTCTAATGTTGTGAGGTAGTGTTTGGTTCACTAGAATGCAGTGGAATGGAATGATTATTTCATCAAAATATCGATCCCATGTATGTTGACTGAAAAACTAATAAAAATACATTGTGAATGGGATCATCATTCACCATTGTAAAGGAATGATGATTCCATTCCGTTCTTATCTTATTCTAGTGAACCAAATAGAGCATAAAGTGTGCAAAATAAACTGCATTCATCAAATAAATAAACACTTTCAAATTAAACTGAGAATACCGCGATATATATGGCGGAATCGCCATTCTGAACCATGCAAGTCCTTTGCCACCAGTTCCTGTGTAGGTGGTTCCTGAGACATGTCCTGCAACAGCAGACAGTAAAGCCATAAGCAAGAAGGAACATGATTCATCTGCACAAATTGTTATAAAGATACCAACCAAAGGAGGAAAGCATTCATCAGCGTATCGCTTAGGGACCGAGAATCCACCGTGTGCGCTTTGATCTGATGGCGTAAGTCTCTTCCTAAAAGGGCATGCATTAATTTTCTGATGCAGACATTGAGAAGTTCTATGCTCTGGACTTGGACCCTGTGGAATCAAAGATTAAGAGTTCTAACCATATTCAATAAGCAAATGTATTGAATTGAGCATTTGAAAACCACAACCAAAAAAAGATCAATAATCTGTTTGGTTCCTTGAAGAATTTGATTGCCCAATTGTCACCAGTGGCAATCATATCGATACTCCCAGAAATTAAAACGTATTTAGTATTACGAAATGACCTCATTCAACAATTACAGTACTCATCAGAAAGCAATTAAATAAATCGTAGACTCATTTTAAAACCATTAGAATGTTAAATTTTTTATGTTTAGATATTTTTCCAAAGACTATGAAGATTAAAAAAAAATAATAAAAAAATTATGTTCACATTTTTCCTAAACGCTCGATGAACAAAGTGATATAGAAAAGTAAGCATGTGTAATATGTTTAATTAAATTTAAATCTCATTAGCCAACCAATACCTCTGGAAGCAAAGTAATCTGTGCAAACACCTCATCGGTGTAAGGTTCAGCCTGCAAAACCAGAATAAATAAGCCGAGTACCATCCAGAAAATACTTGCACAGAAAATCTACAAAGCCCTACATAATATGCCATAATGCCATTCAAAATGCTAAAAATAGGACATCAAGAGGCAATATACCTTTAACTGAACGTAAACAACCTTGCAAAGAATCTTAGAAGGTAAATCGTAGATTGGCATCTCCACTTTACCATCTTGGTTTGAATATGCCTCAACCTACACCAAAATTCAAATAGTAATATATGGTTAATATCACAAAACAACATAATTACTTCATTTAAATTTAATTAAGCAAGTATATTTGATGTTTGATGACACATACAAGGTAGTTCCATAGAAATATTTATTTACATATCATTTCACATGAGTGCGTCAAATTACTAACTTTAACTAACTGCAATTGACGAATCCTTTTAAATTTCACTTTTGTCTTAATTGCGGAGTTAAGTATGACCGACAAAATTCAATTAGCACATTTAAAACCGGGATAAGATTATGCAGTTCCATCAAAATATTTATTTACATATCATTTTACAGGAGTGCGTCAAATTAATGACTTTAACTAACTGCAGTTGATGAATCCTTTTAAATTTCACTTTTGTCTTAATTGCGTATTCAAGTATGACCAACAGAATTCAGTTAGTACATTTAAACCCGGGATTAGATTATGCATTGTTTTCTGCTAAATGAACTGAAATTACATTAATGAAAGGGTTGAATTAGGTGTGGAGAAGAAGAAAACCTGTTCTATGTGACCTTGAGGGAAGTAGAACACCTTATCCCCAGCGCGTGGGACATTAACCAGAGGTCCCGCACAGGCATGCCACAATTGAGCATGCAAATCATCTTTCTGACCTAAAAACCACAGAGTTATACCAGAGGGTAAATAATAGAAAGATTGTATGTGTGGTTACAAATACTATACATATGTATGCATATATATAAAGGAACACAGAGAACAGAGACAGAGCACAATGAACCCATTTCAGGTCTGAGTGATCATGATTAAAATTGATACAATGTACAATGCTAGGTGTATGGGATAAGAATTTAGCATAAAAACTAACAAAAAAAGGCTTATAGCATTTGCTAGGGTTTTGAATAGTTCCAAGTTTAACCATTAACACAGTGTTAGGATTATGAATTCCAATAGAGATCTAAAAACAAACAAACAAACAAACAAACAAAATTCAAATCCATGATTCCAACACGGCATTAAAATAGCACCATGAATCATAAACATTACCGAATGAGAAATCTCAACTTGAAGATTAAATTATTATTTTTTAGATAGTGAATATTTATTTAGTAAAGGCAAAATCAAGAGAACCCACCAGATTTAAGCACAGAGAGAGAAAACAGATACTAACAACAATAACTATATAGAAATAAAATTAAAGAATGTCTATATAAATTTATTTATTTATTTTATAAAACAACTCACATTGACTTAAAAAAATATTTAAAAAATAAAATAATATGTATTTTTAATTTTATAGTACTAATATAGGAAAACGAAAAACGAAAACGAAAACAAACAAAAACACAGGTCGCTATTGCCACCTTGGTTGCATCTGTCATTCTCGGTTTCAACTTCCATGACCTTGTGGCTGAACCTTTCGTTCTTGAATCCATCTTCTCTCTCTAAAATGAAACAGGTAAGAATAAAGAAGAAAAATGAAAAGAAGAGAGAGAGAGAGAGAGAGAGGAATAAAAAAGACAAAGAAGCCTTCAGGTGTTTCGCATGACCAGAGACCTTTAGTGGGATATTTTATTTACATTTCATCTACCTTTTCTCTTTTCCTTTCTAAATTCCTTTCCAAATCTCCCAACCAAACACAGCATAAGACAATAGTCCTTTATTTCTTAATCACATAATAAAGGCCAATGAAAAATTGCAACATTTAATGGTTATATTCATCTTCTAAGTCAACTTTAACTGCAAAACACATCTGATCTCATTTGGAATGGAACTGATCTGCTCCAATGCCTGCTACACAGTGTGGCATGGTAGCATTTTAGGAGAGTCCATTCACTCATAGAAATACAAGAAAAAACTAAACATTATGTTGTTAACATTTCCAAAGTAGTTCTACAAATTACTTCTGATCGGCACAAGCCAATTACGAATGAGCAGATCTTTTACCCATTTGAATGTCATGCCTGCAAACAAAAACAAAAAAACGCAGAACTTTGTACCTCGTGGCTCTTGTGCATATAAGCATCTAAAATCATATGCTTTTCTCGCTATATTCCAGTTTGTTACCATACAGGAGCAAACAAGGAAGGTAGTGAATACTATGGTTTTTCCTTTCTCAAGGGATGGAGCACATAGCGAATAATCCTGTTTGAAAGGATTAATTGCAATCAGTTCATTAGACATTGCAGCTTTCTGAATTCTATCCACTGCCTGAGAGCAAAGCATCAGAAACTTAGAATTTGATACAGGAGGTTGGTTTGGTGGCGTGTCTGGAACCTTACCACACTCGGAAACTTTTAAAATGAAATAGGAAGATTGAAAATTTTAAAAACCAGGTAGTATAGTGGTGTACTTGATTCAAAGTGCCCTTTTCATAGTCACATAGTGCTTCTGTAAATGACAATTTTAAGTTTTCCTCCTTGAAAAAGAAATATAAAGTACTTAAAAAAAAAAAAATTCAACACATACTCCAATAATTAGAAAATTGATTTCTGCAACTCAACCATATACCTTAACAAGCCCAAATTTAGAGATCATATAGATGACACTATAAGGCTAGATGAACTTCCTATGGAATCGGGGTCACTGGAAAAATTACACACCTGGCCATGCACTGCTTTGACCAAAGCTTGCAACTAACCAGGTTTTGTGTTTGTGGCAACAAAGACTCTTCGACCCGGCTTGGGAGCAGCAAACAGGATATGCACTGAATCTTCAGCATAGAAGCCTATTGGAGCAGTAAGTTAATGCCAACAACCACCACTCAGCAAAATAACGAATTTCAAAGGGATTTTCTACCTATTGATTAGAAAAAATATAATGCCAAATATACAACCACTCAGCAGAATACTAAAGCACACACTGTTATCTTGCAGAATAAGTGGAAGAAGGTAAACTTGATTCAGCAATCATAGAGCTAGCATTAATCTATGCTGCCACTGCACCATAACATACATCATTGTTACATCAAGATAGAACTATCACCACCGTACCATTAAAGCCATCATAGGATCAGTAGCATCCACAATAAAAGTACATGTGCAACAAGCTTGCAAACAATTTCATATAGGATTATACAAGGAAAACCAACTATCAATAAATAAAACGAAAGACAGGGAGAGAGAGCATTTCCATACAAATGAATATGAAACACAGGCAAATGGCAACTCAAAGTCCCAGAAAATCCCAAATTCAGTTGTAAACAACATCCCAATCAGCATCATCTCAGACAAACAGAGTGAACTTTGAGAGATCAATACTACTGTTTTCAATGAAATTTTGTACATACAAATTACCTAGACAACCTACATATAAATATCACGTTGGTAGCCCAAGAACACATATGCTGGAAGATAACGTCCTCACTCAATGTGTTGCAGAAAACAAACACAACTAGATACATATAGCAAAATCCATGATGCTTGGAACCCTCTCCTGTTGTTTTCTCCAGTTGTTAAAATGCAAAACAAACATCTAAATACATGAAGATATGTGAGCATGCCATACATCTACAGCACTGTGCTTGCTCTAATTCCACTTGTTCCCCCAATGATGATTTCAACCTTGGCTTCTAACCTGCAAAAAGATCACCATCAATACATTTTGAAAGCATGATCAAAATTGTGATAATAGATTAGAATTGTATTTAACAAACAACCCATGAATTCAAAGCTCTGCCAACTCATAACTTGCCCGCCAGAAATAGGCTTATTGGTTCCACAAACATCTTCCGCTTCTTTCAACTCCCCATTTAATTTGTGTATCCACGTCATCACCATCTCACATCTATCTTCAGTATCAGTTGCCAAATCAGCAACTTCATGAAAGGCATTGCACATTTTATCAAAGCGGCGTGCTTCAGGTTTGACAAACCAATTGTCATAACAGATCCGAATCTTAGTGTGGCCCCTTTTGACAGTTTTACTCCATCTTTTTAAGATGTACTTGTCTGGTACTTGATAAATCATCCTCTGAATCAACACCACAATTTGATGTTTGCACAATATTCCTCTATACTCAAACAACCGGCAATTACAATTAACTTCACTGGTAACCTCATTAAATAAAACATAAAAAATTGCACGCCGGTGGCTTTCTCCAGTTGATATATCTTCACCTACTGCATATTCTGAAATGGTAGCACCTTCCTTACATGAAGACAAATTACAATAAATCTTTCCTATTAACTGTTGCTGAAATTCTTTAAATTTTGCCGTCGTGTAAGCACTTTGAAATTGCTTCTCCATCTCATAACGAGTTATACATGGGAGGCATGACTTAAAAGAATTGAATTCTTCCTTATTTTCATTTCCCACCTTTTTTGTCAGAGCATTCTCATATTGTTCTAGAAATTGTTTCAAAGAAGTCTTTGAATTGACATACCCTTCAAAGAAGGCATGCATACTTTCACTTCGCTGTGTGGTTGACATTCCTGCCCAGAAAATATCTTTCACAAAGGCAGGCACCCAACGATGCCTCTCATCATACAACCCAAGCAACCATTCATTTCTTTCAATTTTATACTTCTCAATGAACCTACCCCAACTTTCTTCAAATTCTTCTTTCGTTAAGGAATCATAAACAACATTTTGCATACAAAACTTGACTGATTCATATTGTCCGCATCCTCTCAATTTTTCTAGCATCTTTTTCATGATATGCCACAAGCACCACCGGTGTCGTGCATTAGGAAAAACAATCTCTATAGCCTTTTTCATGGCTTGGTCTTGATCTGTAATTATTGCACTAGGAGGGCATCCAGACATGCAAGTAAGCCAAGACTGAAATAGCCATGTAAATGTCTCGGTGTCTTCGCTTGATATCAGTGCACAACCTAGCAAAGTCAATTGCCCATGATGGTTCATCCCCACAAAAAGAGCCAATGGCATGTCATACTTGTTAACCAAGTATGTTGTATCAAATGTAACTACATCACCAAACTCTTTAAATGCCGCCCTACTCCTTGCATCTACCCACAACACATTCCTTAGTCGACCCTCTTCATCTAAATCCATCATGTAAAAGAAGTTTGAATTATCAACTTGCATCTTTAAAAAGTAATTGTTCATTGCAGTAGCATCTCCTTCCTGCAGCTGTAAACATTTGACTCTATCAACAAGATGTATGCAATCATTCTCTAAAAAAGGCGAATTCTGATGTTCTCCTGCATCAACCCCAAATGAATTGAAACTATTGTTCAGTATACTGGTTTTATCACTCAATTCAAGCCTCCTTTTCCTAGATGATTGAGGAACCCTGTGGCATCTGTAAAACCGGGATTTTCCTGGACTCAATTCATGGTTATGATCAAGTATCATGGAGTTCAGCATCCACTTTTCATCGGGGCATAGAACTACACTAAGCTTAGCTTTGCAATCTGTTTTTGACTGTGGTTTCAACTTAAGGGGGTTGCTTGATCTGATCCTTTGCTTTCCAGTATGACAACAAGCAACGGTCACATACCTCACCTTCCCATCGGTTCCTTTTTTAGAGGTTCTTATAGACACGCCAAAACCCTTTGCCTTCCCATACAATTTGTAAAATTCCACAAGCTCATCAATGGAATCAAACAACATGCCAACCTTAGGATCCTCTACTCTCTCTTCTACATTGCTTGTTTTCTCCGATTCATTCTCAATGTTACCTTCATTATGCTCTAGCAGCTCCACACTCTGAGAACTACTTGACACTTCTTCCATGCCTCTACAATACAAAATATAGAACTTTAAGAAGTCAGAACATCATTTTGATCATTAGAAAATTATACTGTCCTACTTGATACTTCTTTCTGCTAATTATGTCAGATAAATGAAATACCAGCAATCATAAAACCAGTATAATATCTAGCTTTTTAGCACCTAAATAAATAGAAATGCATGCCCACACCACATTATATCTTATATTCCATAATACACAGTGTTCCATGCACATGGACTTTGAAGACAATAACTGACAAAGAAAACCTATGCAAGGAAGCTCCAAGAAACTGACACCAGTAAAACCATAAGCTTTTTAACAGAAGCAGTTATCTCAAAATGTACCACTGTTTATTCCAATAGTCAATTAACAGAAGCAGCTACAAAAATAAACTATAAGCTTTTTAAGCTGCTTGGGAATAATTCACACATTAATATATATATATATATATATATATTCATAAATTTCACAATTTTAGATGCCAATCCCCAGAACTGAAACCCCAACTATCCATTCCAGCAGCCATATTTCTCAGGAAACAAACAGCACAAAACTTTTCCGATTAAACAACAACAACAAGAGAAATGATTCGAACAAATATTTGATCACCATACAATCCAGGAAGTTCTAATTCCACAACCAAATAAAAAACCCTAATTCCATACCAGAACCCCAAATTTTCACCAGATACTGAAATATATACAGATCTATATATGCATATTGTATGTGATTGGTATCGGGAGAGAAGGATTACTTAGTTACAGAGTCAAATCGAAACAACGGAATCGAGGCGTGTTGGTCGCGATCACAGAGAGAGCTTAGAAACAGAGTTGACTCGGACGCGTTGCTCTGTGTATAATTCGGTGCAATTTCATTGCTCTGTGTTAGGTAGGCTTCGGTGGTATTGGAATGAAAAACGATAAATTAGAGAGGCTGCGATATATTACAAAGGCCATGTTTGGGCAAACTGAATTAAATAGGTTTATCCTTTTTATGATTGGTAGTTTTAGAATTATCTATTCTTTTATTTGTTGAATCAACATTGATTCATCCTATTAATTTGGGAATACTAATGGACCACTAATGAGGTGGAAATTCAAAAAAAAAAAATTAAGGGCAAAACATTTCATCATGTGAGACCCACACCACTTTAGAGCTATTAGTAATCTTCTTTTTAGTGGTCTCACTCATTTCACTTGTTGAATTGACTCACTATTATTTTATGGAAATTAATTGACAAAATTTTACAATTTAGATAGTAGTCCGAACATGTTGTCTTTAATTTCTTATTTTGTATTCCATACCCCGCACAAAGTTTGGTTAGTTAAATCTAAAAATATATAATATTTTATTGAATGATTAATACAATTCAGTACTATATCTCTCAAGCAAATTTAATTTAAATATATTGGTTACAATGTATCATTAATTATTAAAAATTTCATATTAGCTAATGATATAATATTGACTATTGCATTTAACATTTATTTATGTTTTTAATAGAATTACACTTTGTCACTACAATCTTGTTAAAATTAAAAGTTGCAGTTTATACCTGAAATTTTGAAAACAGTTCATTGACTAATATGAAAAGTGGACTTTTAGCTTTTGCCTTAGAGAGAAAATAAATGAATTATGATTTTATAGATGAATGATGATGTAGTTTTGCCTTAGTGGATTAGAAAGTTCAGCTTTGTTTATTACAACATTAGCTTGGACATTTGAACAAATATTTTTTAGTAGATTATTTATAAAAGAAAAATTAAGTTGATTGGATTTTAATAATCATATGTTTAGATAATATTTTTAAAAAAATAAATAATGAAAAATATAATTAAAAAAAAATTATCAATTTTCTATAAAATATAATCTAAACAGATAATCGATTAATTTATTTTATTTTATTTCTTATTTATCTAATCAAAAAGTAATAAATTTAAACAAATTTTAATTAGACGAAATAAGTTCATAGTAAAATCCATAAATGACATCACACAAATAAATAAAACTTGACTTTTGTTAACATATGCCTTAAGGTATATGAGCAATGGTAGAGGGCCCAAATTCTGTGGCTCAAATGTGGCTCAAATGGCCAAAACGACGTCGTTTTGAGTACAAAACAACATCAAAATGGCCAAAACGACGTCGTTTTGGCCATTTGAGCCACATTTGAGCCACAGAATTAGGGCCCCCAAACATTTTTCTAAGGTATATATTAAGAAAGCGTTAAATTAATCATTGAATAAGAATAACTATGTCCACTTGTATAAAAAGAATGAAAATGTTTAAAAATTGTCTCAGCTAACGAAAAGTAAATTATGTATAGAAACACTAATGGACAGTTCTAGGGATGTAATCGGTTTGGTACGATCGGTATTTAGGTAAAAAATTATATCAAACAGATAATGTTGATTTTATTATTTTGAATACCGATACAGACCGCTTCTCCTATCAAACCGTACCAGACCGATTGAAACGGTTCGGTTTGGTGCCATTAATCGGTTTAGGATTTTTCAAACTTGAGCCACTTTTAAATATAATTATTAATCTATATAAAAATATTAAATTAGTTATTTATCTATCATTTCAAATATATCCAATCTTTCAATTTAATACATATTTTTCAATTCTTAAATTAACAAAAATAAAAACAAAAAAAAAGTTCTAAAATACTAAGATTTCAAGAATAATGAGTTAGTGTCAAGATTATATATAATAAGAGTTTACAAACTTAGATTATAAAGATGATAAGGTTAATTAATTAAGGTTAATAATTTCTTATACTTATTAATATCATTATATTATTAGATATTATATATATATATATATATATTATAAATACAATATATGTTAAAGCGGTCGGTTTCGATTTAGATCGGTGCACAAGGTATTTAAACCGACACCGAATCAAAAATCGAAAAAAATCAAATTTAAAAACTGCACAGACCAATTCTTATTTAAAAAAGACTAAATATAACCGATTTGATCTGATTTAATCGATTTGGTCGATTTTTTTAATTTTTCTTACCACCCCACAGTGCATTGAGGGGCTCCAAACCAAAGAGCTATTGAAATCTTCAACCCAAAACTTGTTCAATTTTTTGTTCATGGTTGTGTTAGTAGTTACTTCTTTTTTTTGGAATTTTGATTTGGATTTGTTAAAATACACTATTAATTTGATTGAATTTTTTAAAAATTTATTTTTTAGGAAAAATTAAAAAAATAATAAACACTTATTATTTTTATATAATTTTATCTTTTTTATTTTTTTAGTTTTCTAGTTTTTCTCTAGTTCTTTTTATATTTGTGTACTAAGACAAGGTTTTAAATTTGATTGGAGTTGTAATTTAAGAACTTTTAGTTTCCATGTTGTAAATTAATGGATGATGGTAAATTTGGTGGCAACATTGATGAGGATTCTTAATTAAGAAAATTGACTTTAAGTTTTAAACCTTATTATGATGTCCTCAAATTTTGGGGCGTCACATAGACAACCTACATATAAATATCATGTTGGTAGCCCAAGAACACATATGCTGGAAGATAACGTCCTCACTCAATGTGTTGTAGAAAACAAACACAACTAGATACATATAGCAAAATCCATGATGCTTGGAACCCTCTCATTTTGTTTTCTCCAGCTGTTAAAATGCAAAACAAACATCTAAATACATGCAGATACGTGAACATGCCATACATCTACAGCATTGTGCTTGCTCTAATTCCACTTGTTCCCCTACTGATGATTTTAACCTTGCCTTCTAGCCTGCAAAAAGATAACCATCGATACATTTTGAAAGCATGATCAAAATTGTGATAATAGATTAGAATTGTATTTAACAAACAACCCATGAATTCAAAGCTCTGTCAATTCATAACTTGCCCTCCAGAAATAGGCTTATTGGTTCCACAAACATCTTCCGCTTCTTTCAACTCCCCATTTAATTTGTGTATCCACGTCATCACCATCTCACATCTATCTTCAGTATCAGTTGCCAAATCAGCAACTTCATGAAAGGCATTGCACATTTTATCAAAGCGGCGTGCTTCAGGTTTGACAAACCAATTGTCATAACAGATCTGAATCTTAGTGTGGCTCCTTTTGACAGTTTTACTCCATCTTTTTAAGATGTACTTGTTTGGTACTTGATAAATCATCCTCTGAATCAACACCACAATTTGATGTTTGCACAATATTCCTCTATACTCAAACAACCGGCAATTACAATTAACTTCACTGGTAACCTCATTAAACAAAACATAAAAAATTGCACGCCGGTGGCTTTCTCCAGTTGATATATCTTCACCTATTGCATATTCTGAAATGGTAGCACCTTCCTTACATGAAGACAAATTACAATAAATCTTTCCTATTAACTCTTGCTGAAGTTCTTTAAATTTTGCCGTTGTGTAAGCACTTTGAAATTGCTTCTCCATCTCATAACGAGTTATACATAGGAGGCATGACTTAAAAGAATTGAATTCTTCATTATTTTCATTTCCCACATTTTTTGTCAGAGCATTCTCATATTGTTCTAGAAATTATTTCAAAGAAGACTTTGAATTGACATACCCTTCAAAGAAGGCATGCATACTTTCACTCCGCTGTGTGGTTGACATTCCTGCCCAGAAAATATCTTTCACAAAGTCACCCAACGATGCCTCTCATCATACAACCCAAGCAACCATTCATTTCTTTCAATTTTATACTTCTCAATGAACCTATCCCAACTTTCTTCAAATTCTTCTTTCGTTAAGGAATCATAAACAACATTTTGCATACAAAACTTGACTGATTCATATTGTCCGCATCCTTTCAATTTTTCTGGTATCTTTTTCATGATATGCCACAGGCACCACCGGTGTCGTGCATTAGGAAAAACAATCTCTATATCCTTTTTCATGGCTTGGTCTTGATCTGTAATTATTGCACTAGGAGGGCATTCAGACATGCAAGTAAGCCAAGACTGAAATAGCCATGTAAATGTCTCGGTGTCTTCGCTTGATATCAGTGCACAACCTAGCAAAGTCAATTGCCCATGATGGTTCATCCCCACAAAAAGAGCCAATGGCATGTCATACTTGTTAACCGAGTATGTTGTATCAAATGTAACTACATCACTAAACTCTTTAAATGCCGTCCTACTCCTTGCATCTACCCACAACACATTCCTTAGTCGACCCTCTTCATCCAAATCCATCATGTAAAAGAAGTTTGAATTATTAACTTGCATCTTTAAAAAGTAATTGTTCATTGTAGTAGCATCTCCTTCCCGCAGCTGTAAACATTTGACTCTATCAACAAGATGTATGCACTCATTCTCTAAAAAAGGCGAATTCTGATGTTCTCCTGCATCAACCCCAAATGAATTGAAACTATTGTTCAATATACCGATTTTATCACTCAATTCAAGCCTCATTTTCCTAGATGATTGAGGAACCTTGTGGCATTTGTAAAACTGGGATTTTCCTGGACTCAATTCATGGTTATGATCAAGTATCATGGAGTTCAGCATCCACTTTTCATTGGGGCATAGAACTACACTAAGCTTAGCTTTGCAATCTGTTTTTGATTGTGTTTTCAATTTAAAGGGGTTGCTTGATCTGATCCTTTGCTTTCCAGTATGACAACAAGCAACGGTCACATGCCTCACCTTCCCATCGGTTCCTTTTTTAGAGGTTCTTATAGACACGCCAAAACCCTTTTCCTTCCCATACAATTTGTAAAATTCCACAAGCTCATCGATGGAATCAAACAACATGCCAACCTTAGGATCCTCTACTTTCTCTTTTACATTGCTTGTTTTCTCCGATTCATTCTCAATGTTACCTTCATTATGCTCTAGTAACTCCACACTCTGAGAACTACTTGACACTTCTTCCATGCCTCTACAATACAAAATATAGAACTTTAAGAAGTCAGAACATCATTTTGATCATTAGAAAATTATACTGTCCTGCTTGATACTTCTTTCTGCTAATTATGTCAGATAAATGAAATACCAGCAATCATAAAACCAGTATAATATCTAGCTTTTTAGCACCTAAATAAATAGAAATGCATGCCCACACCACATTATATCTTATATTCCATAATACACAGTGTTCCATGCACATGGACTTTGAAGACAATAACTGAAAAAGAAAACCTATGCAAGGAAGCTCCAAGAAACTGACACCAGTAAAACCATAAGCTTTTTAACAGAAGCAGTTATCTCAAAATGTACCACTGTTTATTCCAATAGTCAATTAACAGAAGCAGCTACAAAAATAAACTATAAGCTTTTTAAGCTGCTTGGGAATAATTCACACATTAATATATATATATATATATATATTCATAAATTTCACAATTTTAGATGCCAATTCCCAGAACTGAAACCCCAATTATCCATTTCAGCAGCCATATTTCTCAGGAAACAAACAGCACAAAACTTTTCCGATTAAACAACAACAACAAGAGAAATGATTCGAACAAATATTAGATCACCATACAATCCAGGAAGTTCTAATTCCACAACCAAATAAAAAAACCCTAATTCCATACCAGAACCCCAAATTTTCACCAGATACTGAAATATATACAGATCTATATATGCATATTGTATGTGATTGGTATCGGGAGAGAAGGATTACTTAGTTACAGAGTCAAATCGAAACAACGGAATCGAGGCGTGTTGGTCGCGATCACAGAGAGAGCTTAGAAACAGAGTTGACTCGGACGCGTTGCTCTGTGTATTATTCGGTGCAATTTCATTGCTCTGTGTTAGGTAGGCTTCGGTGGTATTGGAATGAAAAACGATAAATTAGAGGCTGCGATATATTACAAAGGCCATGTTTGGGCAAACTGAATTAAATAGGTTTATCCTTTTTATGATTGGTAGTTTTAGAATTATCTATTCTTTTATTTGTTGAATTGACTCACTATTATTTTATGGAAATTAATTGACAAAATTTTACAATTTAGATAGTAGTCCGAACATGTTGTCTTTAATTTCTCATTTTGTATTCCATACCCCGTACAAAGTTGGTTAGTTAAATCCAAAAATATATAATATTTTATTGAATGATTAATACAATTCAGAACTATATCTCTCAAACAAATTTAATTTAAGTATATTGGTTACAATGTATCATTAATTATTAAAAATTTCATATTAGCTAATGATATACTATTGACTATTGCATTTAATATTTATTTATGTTTTTAATAGAATAACACTTGTCACTATAATCTTGTTAAAATTAAAAGTTGCAGTTTATACCTTAAATTTTGAAAAAAGTTTCATTGGCTAATATGAAAAGTGACTTTTAACTTTTGCCTTAGAGAGAAAATAACTACGATTTTATAGATGAATGATGATGTAGTTTTAGTGGACTAGAAAGTTCAGTTTTGTTTATTATAACAATAGCTTGGACATTTGAACTGCTAAAGTTTTAATATCTTTTGAGTACATTATTTATAAAAGAAAAATTAAGTTGATTGGATTTTAATAATCATATGTTTAGATAATATTTTTTAAAAAATAAATAATGAAAAAAATAATTAAACAACAAATTATCAATTTTCTGTAAAATAAATATAATCTAAACATATAATCGATTAATTTATTTTATTTTATTTCTTATTTATCTAATCAAAAAGTAATAAATTTAAACAATTTTTAATTAGATGAAATAAGTTCATAGAAAAATCCATAAATGACATCACACAAATAAATAAAATTTGACTTTTGTTAACATATGCCTTATGGGCATATATTAAGAAAACATTAAATTAATCATTGAATAAGAATAACTACGTCCACTCGTATAAGAAGAATGAAAAGGTTTAAAAATTGTCCCAGCTAAAGAAAAGTAAATTATGTATAGAAACACTAATAGACAGTGCTAGGGATGTAATCGGTTCGGTATGATCGATATTTAGGTAAAAAATTATACCAAATTAATAATGTCGGTTTTATTATTTTGAACACCGATACAGACCGTTTCTCCCATCAAACCGTACCAAACTGATTGAAACAGTTCGGTTCGGTGCTGTTAATCGGTTTAGGATTTTTCAAACTTAAGCCGCTTTTAAATATAATCATTAATCTATATAAAAATATTAAATTGGTTATTTTTTTACCATTTCAAACTTATCCAATCCATCAATTTAATACATACTTTTCAATTCCTAAATTAACAAAAATAAAAATAAAAAAAGTTCAAAAATACTAATGTTTTAAGAATAATGAGTTAGAGTTAAGATTATATATAATAAGAGTTTACAAACTTAGGTTATAAAGATGATAATGTTTGTGTGAGTGATTTTTCGACCACACTGCCAACTCAGTATTCAGCTGGAGAGCACTGGCAGAATAGATGACACCTGTTTGACCTGCAACAGAAAGAGAAGATTCTGGCGGTGGTTCGTCCACCCGGGGGCACTCCGATGATCAAGTCAGTACATCTCTCAAAGATAATCAATAGTGTTAAACTCACTGGACAAAGCATAAAAGACATACCTTAAACCCATGAGGGTGCCTCTTTTTTATAGCCAACATAATCCTAGTCCCAATAAAAGCCTAGCTTCAATGGACTTAGGATTACTGCTAATCTTGGACTCCCAGTAGGATTAGGATAAACTCTCTAAGAGTTTTATCTTTACCCAACTGAAGTCTTCTCCCATTCTAGGACTCTTGTCCCTTATCCGCTTATCCCGGATTTCGGTATTCTCGCAGATAACCTCGGCCTAGCCGAGATCATCTCAGCATCATGACCAGGACACGTGACACCTCGGCTGACACTTCGGTGTCACCTCGGTCACGTGTTGTCATTCAAAAAATTATGTCCCCACAACTGCCCCTAGGTTCTATTACATCGGCATCCTGAGGTGATGGAACCTATATCATTTCTTCCATTTAGCACGTCGGCTAAGCTCGCTTCATCATTTATTGCCGAAGTCAGAACTCATCGGCTCAATATGACCAAGACCTATAGTCTGCTTTCATAAATGCTTTAGAACCTACGACCAAGTTCGTTCAAGTTTCTCAACCGAAATCGTCCTTCTAGCCGAGGTATTTGCTTCATTGAATAAAGAACTCCAAGAGTTCCAGTATGCGTATGAGCTGGTGCGCACAGTATTTCAACCGTTTTCACCATGTGTCTTTCCCTTACTGGACTGGATCTAATACGCTCCATCAAGTCGCATCATTTTTGTGCGCGCCGTCTATCACCACGTCGTCCAAGGCACCATAATTGGCATTTTTCATGTTTTTGATCAAAATAAAAAATCCTTTATTGCTGCTTTCATTGCACTTATTTGCTCATTACTTCCGTCTGGCACCGGCGTACTTCACACCGGCCTTTTTGTAATCTAAACAATCATTCTTCATTGTTAGGCCGAAGTGCCTTCTTTCATTTTCTAAATACATTCTTTAATTTTTTCTTTCAACGTGGTTGTATGTGTTTTATTTTTACTCTTATACGATTTTATACTAAAAATAATTTGCATATCTTTAATATACACTTCAATCTTTGTGCAACCTTCTCGGGGTGAAACACCTCGGTTATACAAACTGACGATTTACCTCAGCAAGTACCCAAGTACCTTTCTTAGCATAACCTTGGTTTAAGTTTGTAAATTTTTTCAAAAAATTTCAACAAGTGTTTAACCTTAGTCTCGATTTAACTTCAACTTGTAAACCTTTCTCAAGTTTCAACAAGTGTTAAACATAATCTCGATTTAATTTTAACTTGTAAACTTTTCTCAAGTTTCAACAAGTGTTAAACATCATCTCGGTTTGACTTCGACTTGTAAACTTTTCTCAAGTTTCAACAAGTGTTAAACATCATCTCGGTTTAACTTCCACTTGTAAACTTTTCTCAAGTTTCAACAAGAGTTTAAACATCATCTCAAGTTTCAACAAGTGTTTAAACATCATCTCGGTTTAACTTCAACTTGTAAACTTTTCTCAAGTTTCAACAAGTGTTAAACATCATCTCGGTTTAACTTCGGCTTGTAAACTTTTCTCAAGTTTCAACAAGTGTTAAACATCATCTCGGCTTGTGAAATTCCAACTCCCAAGCATCATTCTTCAGTCTTTTGCCCCCTAATGTGAACTTAAGTTCCACTTGGGTTCATTAGGCATGTGGCTTTGACCTTGATATTGCTCTATGGGCAGGGGATCTACCCCCTGCATGGCTTCCACATACTCCTTTGTGGAAAAAATTCTTTAACTTAGGCCAAGCTCCTCTCTTCTCGGACTTAATCATCTAAGCCGAGATCTTGTCTTCTGGGATCTGAGATTCCAGATCTGGAATCTGGGATCTGCTCACTTGGGCTAAGCTCTTATCTTCTCGTGTCCAGTATTATCTCGTCTTTGCTTCGGCTAACCATTTCTCTTTTCTTGTTTGGACGCCTTTGTCCCCAGCGTATCTTCCTCGGCTCTAGCATACTTTTCTATTCTGGTTGTCAGCTCCTCTATGCTTTTCGACAATGTCTTTGCCAGTGATTTTCGAAGCAGGCAGTCATCCTTCAAGTCATTTTTAAACGACATGACCGCCACCTCTTAGTTGCATCCTGGTATTCGGTTGAATACCTCATAATACCTTTTGGCATAGGCCCTACGGCTTTCATCATCGCCGATCTTCAAAGCCATTAGGGCGTCTACCCTCAATGGCTGTAGTTTGTTTGTTACGAATCTGGCCACAAACATCTCGGCCAGGCCTTCCCAAGTTTTCACAATTCCTTTCGGCAACTGGTGAAACCAGTCCGATGCAATTTCCCCGAATGATGAGGGGAACACTTTGTAGAGCAATGGCTCGTTCCTAGTGTATAACGCTATCGCGTTCAGGTATAATCCGACGTGAAAGTTGGGGTTCGACTTCCCATCGTATATCT